TGTCCACCAGGGCTCCGGTCTCCCCGTTCACCCCCCACGTCTGGCTGTTGTCCTGAGTGTGTTTTGCCTGTCGGGAAAGACGGGATCACCACCGGGGGATGGACCTTCTGATGAGACCCGAGTGTGGCCGCCCGGTGCCTAAAGGGGCTGCAGGAAACCTGGAGAGGGGCTTCGCTCTCTGCAACTGCCTGACAGGAGTATGGAGCCAGGAGGGGGCTGGTCTCTGCTTCCCAAGGGGTGGGACAAGAGGAAACGGCCTCAAGCTGCACCAGGGGAGTTTGGATGGAGATTGGGAACAATTCCTTCCCCAGAGGAAAGAGACTGGGGCGTGTGTTCCAGGCTGGACACAGGGGCTTGGAGCAACCTGCTCTAGTGGAAGGTGTCCCTGCCCGTGGCTTTAGATGAGCTTTAGGATCCCTTCAACCCAAACCATTCCAGGATTCCATGCTTTGAAATCCAGCAGAGAACTTTTGCAGCCCAGCAAATGCCAACAAGCCTTTAAATCACCCTCGAGGGATCCGTCAGTTCCTTGACCACCAGGATCCTTCAAGGGAAAAACCTACAGCAACTACCCAAAGAGCAGCCTCAAGGGCACAGCTATGGAAAATGACGGATCCAAGGGACCGGACACAGCGGGAAGAGCTGAAGCTCCTAAATGAGCCCCGACTGCAGCTTACCCTGAGCGAGGTCAGCACACGGATGGTACTGGCACCACAGTTCTGGATGAGGGTGCGAGGAATGACTTCCAGAGCCTGAGCCACGGCTCGGTACGGCCACTGCTCCACCCCTGTCATCCCTTTGGACTTCTCAGTCAGCGCATGGGCCACGGCCATCTCGGTGGCACCTCCACCCGGCACCAGCTGCGGGTCCAGGAGCACGTTGCGACAGACCTGCATCGCGTCCTGCAGGTTCCTCTCCACCTCCTGCAACGGGACAGCTCGGATCAGGGAGCAGGGAATGGGAACCACCCCCTGCCCCGTGTGTGCTGGGAGCAGCAGGGAGGGGATCCCGCCCCTCTGCTTGGAGAGTGGCTCCAAGAAACCTGGAGAGGGGCTTTGGACAAGGGATGGAGGAACAGGACAAGGGGAATGCCTTTAAGCTCCCTTCCAACCCAAATCATTCCATGGTCCTGCCGCTACCAGAAGGTGGCTCCTCTATGTGGGCAAGTTCTGCTTTCCCTGTACAGTGCAGCCCACGAGATGTGTAGCTCCAAACCCCAAAGGAAACTTGGACTTGGCTTCCATTGTGCCCAAAAGCTGCTCCAAAGGAAGCAGTGCCTTGTCCCCAAAAGGATGGGCAGGACAGGAGGGGAAGCAGAACATGCAGCAACTCACTGCCAGGATCTCCTTGCTGGCTCCACGCAGGATGATGGTGCAGGCCTTGGGCTCTTTGCAGTCAGTGATGAAGGCGAAATACTCATCCCCTATCTTCTTAACCTCGAAGAGCCTGGCCCCAGTGCCCACGTCCTCCTCCCGCAGCTCATCCGTGCGGCTCACAATGCGGGCTCCACAGGCCCTGCACACACCAGGGGACAGTCAGACACTCCCAGGGGAGGAGAGGGGAGGAAGGGGGAGAAGAGGAGGAAAGTCCATGTCAGGAGAGCAAGGAGAGGATCCAGTGAAGAGGGAGCATTCACCTGGCGATCCGGTTGTTGTCCGTCTTCCTCACCCTGCGGATGGCCGTGATGTTGGCTCTCATCAGGTAGTGCTGGGCCAGGTCTGGAATCAGGTTTGGGAGTTTTAGTCATCAATCAGCACTATCAGAACTAACTGAAGTCTCTTTGAAGTGCAACATCTTATAGAAAAGAAAGCCAAATGCCCTTTAATGCACAAAGTGCAGCTTTTCAGGCTCCTCCTCGCTGCTCATTTGATGGTTTCCAACTACTGGAAAAGCAAAATGCTCTTTGAATTGCCACAAGGCAACCTCGAGCCCCAAATCCAACCCCTGCAATGGGGAACTCTTTGTTAGAAAACTAAAACCCTGACCCCAACCAAGCTGATGGGTGAAATCAGGGCTGGGGGCTTGCTTCTGGGGGGGGGTGGAAGTTGCCAAAGGGTGAATTTAACACAGGATGAACCTCACTCAAATGAACTCAACACCAAGAGGTGGGTTATTACCAGAAATGCCTTTCTCTGTGATGACCAGATCTGGTTTGACCCTCATGAGATCCGCACACATCTGCTGGATATACTCCTCCTCCATCTGCAGGATGCGGGCAAAGTCTTCCTCCCGGGTGATCTCAATGTCAGTCTGCACAGAAAAGAGCTGGAACTTAAACCCAGAGCCCCTGAGCTGAGGGACCTGAGCTCCTCCAGCACCTCCTGCGCCGGAGCCAAGGAGAACTACAGAAGAAAAACCACCCATCAGCTCCCAGGGCCCAAGGGGGCTCCAGGAAACCTGGAGAGGGGCTTTGGACAGGCGCTTGGAGCAACCTGCCCTAGTGGAAGGTGTCCCTGCCCGGGGCAGGGGTTGGAGCTGGAGCTTTAAGGTCCCTTCAACCCAAACCGTCCCAGGATTCCATGATTTCACTCCTGGCTTTACCTGGCTCTCTCCTTTCTTGTACTCCAGTGAACAATCCAGAAGGACAATCCGTGGATTCTTGATGAGACGCCTCATTCTGGGGTGAGTTACATCTTTATTCACCATGATCCCACGTAACACACACGAGTCTTCGCTAAAACCACCTGGAATCTGCCCCAGGAAAGGGGGAAATAAAGCATATCAGGTCCCTCTATGGGAATTTCACTTCAGGATAGCATCCACACTCCTGGAATCACCCCTATCCCATGCGCTGGGAAAGGAAAACCCTTCCCAAGCAACCACAATGCGCCCGGGCCATCAGTGCGAGGTCACTTTATGAGCACGACGACATTCCCCCCGCCAGGAAGCAGCAGTTTGAAGGGAAAAGGCCTCCAGGACACACTCACCTTCTCCACTTTGGCGTATTTCTTGATATCAATCTCCTTCCTGCCATTCTCTTCCAGCTCCACCGTCCTAACAGCCTCCAGAGCAATGCTGCAGGCCAGCTCGCACCACCGGTTGATCGCCTTGGTGTTTATTGCACTCCTGATGATCTTCAGCATCATCTCTTTGTTGTTCACATCCACTGGCGTGCTGCCACGAAGGGAAAACGATGATTCCCCCCCAATCCCTTCTCTTCCACCCACCCCCCAACCCCAGCCCCCAAACTCACCCGATTTTCTTTAAGATGCTGATCATGTCGTCCAGAGCCTTTCGATAAGCCCCGATGATCACAGTCGGGTGCATCTGCTGCTCCAGGAAGTGTTCAGCAACAGAGAGCATCTCCCCAGCTAAACAGCAAAGCCCGAACATCAAACTTCCTCAGCTGCGGAACACTTGACAGCCAAGACAGGAGGAGAACACCCCAGACAAGGAGCATCTGCTCCCCATGAGGAGACCTCTGACATCACCTGCTCCTTCCTTTCTACTTCACTGTGCTTATCCCAGGGGGAAAGCACAGCTCTCGAGCACGGAGCTGCTCCCCTCAGGGGCTGATGAAGCCCATTCCCTTTCGCAGCAAAGAAACCCCAAGAGGAACTTGTGGCCCAGGGTGGGGTGACAAGAACCTGATGGAGTTCCATAAGGATAAGGGGAAGGTCTTGCATCCAGGGAAGCCCAGGCTGGGAGCAGCCTCCTGGGGACACAAGCCCCATAGGAGTGAGCAGGGTGACAGAGAAAGGCAGCAGGCTAAAGGTGTCACTGTCCCACCCTGCCCAGGGTTTGTGAGGCCACGCTGGGGACACTGGGCTGTTTTGGTCCCTGCTACCCAGAAAAGCTGTGGATGGGCTGGAGAGGATCCAGAGAAGAGCCACAACGATGATCCAAGGGCTAGGAAGCAGGTAAGGAAAGGCTGAGAGCTGGGAATGTTCAGTCTGGAGAAGAGAAGGCTCAGGGAGACCTTATCCCCATGTTCCACTGTTTCAGGGTGGCTACAAAGAAGATGGAGACTCCCTTTTTACATGGAATCACATGGAACAGACAAGGAGTGATGGGCCCAAGTCAGTCCTTGGGAGATTCCCAATGGACACCAGAGAAATTTTTCACAATGAAAGGAACCAGCCATTGGAATAATCTCCCCAAGGGAGTGGTTCCCAGTGTTGGACACTTAATATTGGGCTGTTGGAACATCTAGTCTAGGTCACGATGTGCCTGGGAAGGTTGGAGCAGATGATCCCTGAGGTCCCTTCCAACCTGGGATTCGGGGATTCACCTTTAGGGGTGGTAAAAAATGAGTATCTGTCACATTAAAGCCTCTTTGCCAGGCTCTGATGGGCAAGTAGAGAGAAACCCTTCCCAAAACCCCTGATAAAAGGCATGTCCTCCGCTCTCCTCACCCAGGATGATCACGGATGTGGTCCCATCTCCAACTTCTTCATCCTGAGTACGGCTGATCTCGATCATTGATTTAGCAGCTGGATGCTGGACCTGAATCTGCACAGGAGCAAGAAACAGGGGTTTGGTCCACAAGATGAAAGCTGAAGCTTCCAGCATCCCTCCATCACTAGAGAATTGAGAGGAGGCTTATAACACTTCGATGAACCCCAGGGCTCAAACCTGCTCTTCTGAGGAGGAAGAGTGTTTGCTGGACACGTTTACTTCCTCCCTTCTAAGCCCCTCTCTTGGTTCTGCTGCTTAGAACCTGCTGCTTTCAAGAGAGAGGATGAAATCGCATCATTCCCCATCCCTGGCAGTGTTCAAGGCCAGGTTGGACACAGGGGCTTGGAGCAACCTGCTCTAGTGGAAGGGGCCCCTGCCTGTGGCAGGGGTAGGAACTGGATGAGCTTTAAGGTCCCCTCCAACCCATTCCAGGCCTGGCAGCTATTTAATGGTATCCTGGAACATTCCTACTCCCATGTTCAGCAAGACAATCCTCCAGGAGACACTTACTTCTCTGAGGATAGCATTGCCATCGTTGGTCATCACAATCCCACCCATGGGGTCCAGAAGCATCTGCAAGCAAAGGAAAAGCAACACTTGGTCGTGGGGGGTTTCCATCAGGGTTCAACACAGGTTCTTCAGCCAAGTTCTTACCTTCATCATGGCTCGTGGTCCTAAACACGTCCTGATCACATCAGCTATGGTCTAGGAAGAACAAAGGACATGAGCAGTGCTGGAGGGGAGCAGAAAACCCAAAACACCCCATTATGGAGGAAGCAGCTGCTGGGAAATGTAAGTAAGCACCTATCTGCAGTGCTTTGATGGAGCAACCGGAGTAAGAACCGGGTGGGAATGGAACACAGGGACCAGCACCACGCTGCGTGGTCACCTAAACCCAGCGGCAAAGCTCATACACTTCCAGCTTGGGCAGGGAAAGATGAACCTCCCCCTGTTCACCTGAAACCTTGTTTCTTTCCTGCTTCTGCTCTGGATCCAGATAGAGAAAACATGCTCCAAATCCCACTTTGCCCCTTGGATGGGTACATACACACATATATGTGCACACACACTGAGTGAGAACAGCCGGGGACAGGAGCTGGTACCTTTGCAGCAGTGATGTTTCCAGTCTGGACCTTCCTCCCAGACTCCCGTTTCATATTCTGACCTAAAGAGATGACAAAGGAAGAACCTATTAAAGCACAAACAGGCTTTAAGCTGGTCCCTCTAAGCCCAAAACTAACCCAGAAGCGGCCGCACAGTAGTTTTTAGCGCGGATGCTCCCACACAGTGTGTAACAGAGTGGTTTAAAGTCAGTTCTCCTCCTGCGCGGCTCCGTCACTTCTCCACCCCAGCCTTCCCCCGCCTCCCACAAGGATTTGCCCTAAACCTCCACGCTTGGGGCTGCTTTTCCTCCCTTCCCCGCCTGGACGGGCTCAGAGCTAAGGCGATAGGGGATGTGTGGAAGGCAGAACCCAGCAGGGGGGCAGCAAAGGGGCCCTGGGGCTGCGGGAACGGCGCTTCCCAGCGCTGGGATGAGGAACGCTCCGCGCTAAGAACACACGAGGCGGCACAATGGGACGGGTCGGTACCAGGCGAGCTGGAGGCGCTTTAAAGC